ACACAATTAATATTATCCACCATTAACAGTATATTAACCATGGTATACCACCAACCAGTCATGTTAAACAAGCGTAGTTACTACAACTCACCAACCGCTTCTCCGGTGAGGGCAGCAGCTGGCTGCCAATGGCTGGAGAGGGTGGCCTTTGTAAGGATTGGAACTCCAGAGAGTTCCACGCCTCAGAGGGGTGATTCGGAGGTGATCTCTATGGAACATCACCATGTTTTAGCTGGGTAAATCAACTATTTCGAGCTGGCCATGTTCAATAGCGAACTGTTAAATTACCGGAAGGTAAGTGTGACAACTATGGTATAACTAAGTTGATCAACTATGTATATCTAATATATAGTATACATACATAGAACGTACTATGATATCTAGCTATGGTTTTCACGGGAAAACCATGGAACATATGTTATAACTAGTTAATAAACCATGGTCATAGTTAATATGATAGATAACAACGGACAAAAATTGTGGTTTTCCCATGAAGTACGGTAATTTCTAGGGTGGATATAACCATACTTTAATGGATATTCAGTCGTTCTTTCTGTTGGCCAAGAAAGCTCTGAGGCTCAGTCCGCAGCAGTCCACAGAAACCCGAAGACAAGTCTTAGCACTGTCGTCAGACCGATGTAGGTCAATGAGATTGTTCGCAGCAGTGCCGTCCCGAGAGGGAATGGCACGGCGGGCCCAGACAAAAACTCCGGCACACCCAAGCTGCCGGTACGAAACCTGAGCGGCCTACCAAAAAAGCCGCCTCAGTAAAAACGTCATCAAATTCTGCATGCTGAGGGGGGCAAAAGCGATTGTAACATAGCACTCCCTGTTCAGACACTTACTGAGGAACATCGCCATCATCCAGTGTATGCAGTATAGCGCTATATTGGTAAAATAGGCTCATCTGGAACGGAAGACACAGCAAAAAAGCATCCACTCACCCAAAGAGTGGGGCAGTTGTCTGATAATCCCAATACCAGAACGAGCCATAGGGGCAGACTTTGCTGCGCGCAGGCGCCAAGTCTGCACGGCAGAGAGCGGCTCTTGACAGCGCCAGTTCCGCTCGCTGCAGTGCAGTCTAGTCCATGGCATCGGCCGGCTACACCGCTACCCCCAGAGCAGCAACAAGAAAAGCCAGCCAACAGAACTATGGATTTTAAGCCCCAGAAGTTAGGATATAAGCCCTATAATTAAGTATTGTTATATATCCACTTCGTTCACTGGAACTGCACTTCCAAGTATGCCATGAACCGTGGTTTTCGTGTGGTTTTTTTGGGTACCATTTGAGTTTTGACTAAGAGTTTGCTGTGAAAAATCATCGATTTTGTTTGGGCCATGGCTTCCATAACTGCGAGGTTACCGGAGGCTATAGTCAAGATCCCACCAAATGTTGTGGTGTTTTGTTGGGTTTACCACAACACCCATATATTCCAAATCAAAGTGCAGATTTTCCATGATTTTCCATTGCAATCGAAGCATATTTTCATTATTTTCCATTGCTTTCGGAACATAACTATTACAGATGACTACAGGGTATCTGCTGCTGATGTTGAATCCTAGTTGGACATATTTATCCACAGTGAGTATGTTATGAGACGGGTTGAAGTCACCAACCAATTGTCAGCTATGGACTCGGTGTTCCCTCAGGTACTTCCGTGCAGTATAAGAATGTAAACCATATTCTACCATCTTAAACCACCATTTTCATCCATTTTCTGGTTGGTGGTTTGGAACATGAATTTTATGACTTTCCATTCAGTTGGGAATTGACTTTCATCCCAACTGACGAAGTCCATCATTTTTCAGAGGGGTAGGTTCAAACCACCAACCAGTCATCTATGGGGGTTTCCTACAATGGGGATACCCCAATAGCTGGATGGTTTATAAGGGAAAATCATCATAACCATAGTATGTAACCAACCAATAATATTCATGGGGATAGGCTCAACCACCAACCAGTTTTTCATGAGAAAACCATGGATTTCCCCCATGATCTGGAGAAGTTCTCCACTTCCAAGGTGCGTGGTCGACGGCTTAGTACCCGGAACCACCTACGAGGTGCGTGGAGCTCGCTCGCTGGGAGCTCGCTGGTCAGACACCCCGAAATCCAAGTCATTGGGGGTTTTGAAAATGTTTGAAAAATGGTGGTTTACTATGGTTTTACTATGATTTGATATGGTTTACTATGGTTTTACTATGGTTTACTATGGTTTTACTATGATTTAATATGGGTTTACTATGGTTTTACTATGATTTGATATGGTTTTACTATGATTTGATATGGTTTACTATGGTTTTACTATGGTTTATTATGGTTTTACTCTGATTTAATATGGTTTTACTATGGTTTTACTATGATTTACTATGGTTTTACTATGATTTGATATGGTTTACTATGGTTTTACTATGGTTTACTATGGTTTTACTCTGATTTAATATGGTTTTACTATGATTTAATATGGTTTTACTATGATTTGATATGGGTTTACTATGATTTGATATGGTTTTACTATGGTTTTACTATGGTTTACTATGGTTTTACTATGATTTAATATGGTTTTACTATGGTTTTACTATGATTTGATATGGTTTTACTATGATTTGATATGGTTTACTATGGTTTTACTATGGTTTACTATGGTTTTACTATGATTTAATATGGGTTTACTATGGTTTTACTATGATTTGATATGGTTTTACTATGATTTGATATGGTTTACTATGGTTTTACTATGGTTTATTATGGTTTTACTATGATTTAATATGGTTTTACTATGGTTTTACTATGATTTGATATGGTTTTACTATGATTTGATATGGTTTACTATGGTTTTACTATGGTTTTACTATGGTTTTACTATGATTTAATATGGGTTTACTATGGTTTTACTATGATTTGATATGGTTTTGCTATGATTTGATATGGTTTACTATGGTTTTACTATGGTTTACTATGGTTTTACTATGGTTTAATATGGTTTTACTATGGTTTTACTATGATTTGATATGGTTTTACTATGATTTGATATGGTTTACTATGGTTTTACTATGGTTTACTATGATTTTACTATGATTTAATATGGTTTTACTATGGTTCTACTATGATTTGATATGGTTTTACTATGATTTGATATGGTTTACTATGGTTTGATCATCTAAAATTGGAGCATGACTTAGTATTGAAAGCCATTTTAAGCATCCAAGATTGGAGTATGACTTAGTATTGAAACCCATGGCGACTTGTGGATTTCCCATTAAAAGAAAAATAACATGTTTTTTTTTGGCCCCTGAGACTACCTGCCCACAGCAAGCTTGGATAGCATCACCCCCTACCGCAGGGCCGTGTGCAGATTTCATGCCAAGCATCAGCTTTAAGCAGCATTTGGACTTACGCAGGCGGGAAGGGGAGCGGATTTGGAGAACGGGGAAGGGCTTGCGGTACTGGATCTTTGATTTGTCACTGCGGACAGACCCCCAAATCAGTTGATCATTGCCTTTCCTGCCACAACCTTGTCATTTTGGGGATTTTGGGGCGGTATCCACCGGTTTTGGACCCCATGTGGCATCTTAAGGGGACCCTGGTGGCAAGCTGAGATGCTGTCACCGCAACTTCTTGCACTGGAGGTAATGGAAAACTAATGTTAGTAAAGCAATACTAGTAAACCATGCCCAAATTTACAATAAATGGATTGTATAACAATCACTTTACTGACATTACCAGGTTAATAGTGCAATTATAATCACAAAGGGCTGGTAACCATGGAGAAACCGTTTCACTACAGAGGGCGGCAATCTTAAGTCTTACTATGTGGTATGTATTGTTAGATATGTGTACATGTATGTATAGCGTATACATGTTTGTATATATATATATGTTTGGTACATTAAGCTTTTTTTTTGGCCGGTTAAGCCCGACTGTGTCAAAACCTCTATCGCCAGAGGTGCCACGGTGACCACGTTTCTTGGCAGCGAGTCGTTGGTGAAGTTGGCGGTTCATGGTGAAGAACCAGATGTCCAGTCATATTTGGGAAATCAACCAAGAAACTTCTGAAAGGTGGAAACACATCTGAAAGATGGAGACAATGCTCAAAGGCTCAAAGATGAAACAAATTAGATATGATATGATATCATCTAAGTTTGCTAAACAACATTAAAAACTTTCTTGTATCAATGACCAGAGAAGTATGTGTTTTTACATGTTGTTTGTTGTTTACCACATTTGTGCAGGGGTGTTCACCTCTGCAGCTGAGGAATTTGGAAGCTCTGGTGGTGGAGGGCAGCATCTCTGTGACAGCCGCCTGGAGCAAGCTGATGGGGGACATGATATGATTCCAGGGGGAAGCGGTTGATGAATGATCCATGATTCCCCCATTCCCTACTTACTAAGCACCAGTAAGTTATAAATGGATGATACCCGGCCTGGTAAACGTTTACAGTTTGCGAACTGGAACATGACCCATTGAGTTCGTTGATTTACCTATTAATAGCATGGGGAGTTTCCATAGTTTTTCCCCACCTGCCAGGTGAGGGTTGTTAGATTTTATGTCAGTTGCCTCCTCCTCCTCCTGCTCCTCCTGCTCCTCCTCCTCCTCCTGCTCCTCCTCCTCCTCCGCCTCCTCCTGCCTCGTCCTCCTCCTCCTTGTCCTCCTTGTCATCCTTGTCGTCCTTGCTCAACTGCGACCCGCGATCCACAGTGTTCTCTGCCGGACCTCAACCACGACCACCCACGCCCAGTGTTCCCTGCCGGACCTCAACCACGACCATCCACGCCCAGTGTTCCCTGCCGGACCTCAACCACGACCATCCGCGCCCAGTGTTCCCTGCCGGACCTCAACCACGACCATCCGCGCCCAGTGTTCCCTGCCGGACCTCAACCGCGACCATCCGCGCCCAGTGTTCCCTGCCGGACCTCAACCGCGAGTATGCCAGATAGAATGCCAGATAGAATGCCAGAAGATTTGCCAGATAGAATGCCAGAAAATATGCCAGAAGATATGCCAGATAGATATGCCAGAAGATATGCCAGAAGATATGTCAGAATATATGCCAGAAGATATGTCAGATAGAATGCCAGAAGATATGTTAGAATATATGCCAGAAGATATGCCAGATAGAATGCCAGATTGAATGCCAGAAGATATGTCAGATAGAGTGCCAGAAGATATGCCAGATAGAATGCCAGAAGATTTGCCAGGTAGAATGCCAGAAGATATGCCAGAAGATATGCCAGATCATATGCCAGAAGATATGCCAGATAGAATGTCAAATAGAATGTCAGAAGATATGTCAGATAGAATGCCAGAAGATTTGCCAGTAAGAAAATGTATAAATGTCATGGTGGGGATCACACGAAGTAAAGTAATTTGTATGTTTACCAGAGGGTAGATGAATGGATGATGAATGCATGATAAATGGATAAATGGATGATGACTGAATGATAAATGGATGGGGAATGGATTGATGAAAGTATAATTTGATTGATGAAAGGATGATAAATTGCTGATAAATGGATAAATGGATTGATGAAAGGATGATCAATGGCTGGGGGCTTCATGTTTGAGCCAGTGTCATGCAGGGAAAATTATATTTGGCGTTTAAGAAGATTATACTTGTGGATGGTTTGGGAAGCATGTGCTCTGTTGGGAAATGGGTTCGATATGTTTGAAGACCTCATAGGTCAGGTGAGAGAGATATTGTGCAGACATGATTTCCATCCGTTTCCCCTTGAGTATCACTATATACCCTCTGGTAAACATACAAAAAACTATGGAAAATCACCATGTTTAATGGGTAAATAAACTATAAATGGCCATTTTCAATAGCTATGTTTGTTTACCAGAGGGTAGAAGAAATTAATTTGGCCCTGATGTAGATTCCCGTGCTGTATTTCCCCTACCAGTGAATGTCGATCTAATGATTTCTATACGATCGGATCTTCTGGGATGATATCAATTAAGATGTCATTTCTCAAAATTCATTGACGCCTCTTATACTTGTCCCCCCCAAAGATGGAATGTAACGTATATCATCTATCTCTTTTTTCTTGGGATACTTGTCTATCTGAGGATTACTAGTAGGATTACTACACCTCCAATCTTTGTGAGATAGACTCAGGTTTAACACGTCCCCCTGGTGTTTCCCGGAGGCGGCTCGACGCTTGAGCGCGAACGCTCGTCGCTTGGCGGAGCAACAGCTGCAGAAGGTCTTGAGCGAGGCGCCATGGATTTCGATCTCCTGGAGCAACGCTGAGAATTTGATGGAGGAATTTATGGTAGCCTCAACGAACATAGCTATGGCATGCTATGGCCCTATGGCCCTATGGCTATCTTGGACAGATGGATTTTTTGTGGCTAAAGTTATGGGATTCATGAAGTATCTTTGCACCTGGTTTTTCAAATCCAGAAAAACAATCGTATACGTCGTATGTATTTTTGTGCGGATATGGCCACGCCAATAGCATCCAAGGAGCTGGCAAAGAGTCCTTGTCAGTCTTGTCATCATTGTTTCGTTCACCAACCAAGCATTTGAAATCATACATGTACAACATGTACAGAAAACATGGAAAACATAAGTAGTTGTACCCCTTCCTTTGCCCCGTTGCTCAAACAGCTCGGATCCAGCCATGCCGATTTGTTTTCGTATTTTCTTGGGCATGGGTCCCATGGGTCATGTGCAGCCCAAAATTTGGATGGCTGGCCAATGTCGTTGGATCAGCACACAATCATACAGATTCATCTCATAAGCCATTCGTTCATATTAGTACATTTAGTTCACTTAGTACACCCAAAAAAAACATGGTAGACCCATTTAGCTTGAAACATTTGTTCATACATTGGGTAGACAACCCCCAGAAACCATGGTTTGCACGCACACTCTTGCAATACTCCCATCCCTGTATTACCAGAAAACATGTTTTTTTCGTAGCGGATTGCTTTTTGTCAACACCAGAAACCTAAAAAGACATGGAGGTTTCTGTAAATGGTTGTTTTATCAAAGCGGATGCTTCAAATTTCATGGAACATCCAAAAATATCTGGGTAAATTATAACGACCTCACTACGAGCTCACTGGAATCATGGTTAGTAAGGGGAATCATCCCAAAATGGCCTTATTTCAGGTTAGTGAAATATTATAATTTACCCAGAAATATCTTACTGGTGCTAAACGCAGGGAATGAGGGAATGATCCAGAATCACTAGTAAGAATCATCCATGATTCCCCCATTCCCTACTTACTAAGTTACTAAGCACCAGTAAGTGAAATAAATGGATGATACCCGGCCTGGTAAACATACAAAAAGCTATTGAAAATGGCCCAGTCGAAATAGTTGATTTACCATTAATAGCATGGTTATTTTCCATCGTTTTTTGTTAACGTTTACCAGGCCGGGTAACACCCTGGTCCCGTTGTCGGAAACCTCCCAGGTCACTGCAGTGGAGCTGCGCTCGGTGTTGGTGACCACTGAAGGCCGCCGGTCACAGGGGTCACACCGGTGCATCGGTGATGGGTTGCGGATCCTTGAGGATCCCATGAGAAGATCTAATCCAATCAAAGTGTCCTTTACTGAGATTGGATTGATTAGATATGATTAGATATGATTGGATAGATGACTGAGTACTTTTCGTTGATTAGATCTAATTTTTCATGGCTGAAAACTGAGATTAGATTGATGAAATATGATGAATTTTCACAACATCAAGCTGGTTGTCAACATGTTTATATATTTCACTGTGTGTGTGGTCCATGTGACGAAAAAGTGATGACTGGTACCATGATGGTCCCGTTGGGATCCGTCGCGACCGAAGCCTGGAATCATCCCCAGCCATGGCCGAACAATTCGGGTTAGTGAAATATGATCATTTACCCAGCATATATCTGGTTGGTGGTTTCAAACATTTGTGATTTTTCCATATCTTGGGAATAATCATCCCAACTGACTTTTTTTTTCAGAGGGGTTGAAGCCACCAACCAGATATAGTATATACAGTTACATACATACCAAAAGTATTCCCAATGTATTCCCATTGTTCGATGACCATACTCCATATGTAATTTGACCATGACTCACATGTCCTGATGATGGGTGACAGTGAAACACATCTCCATTTGTTGTTTGCAAACAACGTCTAGATGACTGGCTCAGGTAGTGACACGTCGTACCTTGTGGCAGCTTCAACCCTTGGGTGCCTTGGTGCAAGCGGTTTTTTATCATGGAACATTGCAGCTTCCCACCTTTTGGCTTACTGTTAAATTGTTCATGTTTCTCTTCCGTTTGAAAGGAGGCAAACATGTGTGGACTGAAACAGTGTGCCAAAATACATGGATGACATCATTGGCAAATAGGCTCCGATTAGACATCAGCAAGATGCTGGGTAACATGGACCAATCTGCAGCCGGATTTGTGTCGCAATCCGTGCAGAATCAGAAATGCAATATTTCATGTTTTATGTATAATATATGTATATATATATTAGTATTATTAGTCTTTATTACTATTGTGTATTACTAGATATAAATCCTTTGTATATAGTACTTATATGTAATAATGATTAAGAATACTTATTTTTACTACTATGATTATGTTTTCTTATTCTTATTAAAAATATATTTATATCTACATAAATAGTATCGTATTAATTTATGTACATATATATATATATACATATTATGAATTATAAATGTGTCAAGCAAAAAAAGTGGAGCAAGTATTGCGTTGAAAAGACCGACCAATTACTTGCGGAGAAATCTTTGGCCCTCCAACAAAATCATGGTCCATGACTAGCAAGTTACTATACCCGCAAGGAATTTCTAGTGGGATGACCAGTTTGAGTTGGTGAACAAAAAACTCCACAGCATCCCGATATATCAGTGTCTATTGATCCCCCCTGTTTGGTTCCCATATGATACCCTCTGGTAAACATACAAAAAACTATGGAAAATCACAATTTTTAATGGGTAAATCAACTATAAATAGCCATTTTCAATAGCTATGTTTGTTTACCAGAGGGTATATCTCCATGGTATTCCCATGATATCCCCATAACAAGCTGTCGGACCTGTCGGACCCTGAGGAGCGACGATGCTGCTGCGGAGTTGGAAGCACAGGCTGCGCAGAGGCGCGCAGATTTTTATCCGAAGTGGGCCAAGCTATCCTGCAAAAATTGATAATTGAATTGGAAAAACAACATATAAACAATGGAAGTAAGTGGGCCATCAGTTGTGGCAATGTGGCCATCATAATCTTATTAATGGGGAAACAAATTTGATTGGTGGGTTGGAACATTTTTTTTTTCATAATATATGGGATAATCCTTCCCATTGAATAATATGTTTCAGAGGAGTTGAAACCACCAACCAGAAATTCAATGGGGAAAATGATGACTAACCAACCTTGAATGGTTGTAGAAACATTGGACATTGGATGATGATTAGTATTATATATTATTTTTAAAGATGATTAGTATTTGATGGTGATGAAATATTGGGGAAATGACTTATATTATATTGGAGAAATAACTTATACAGAATGCAGCAGACTATGGCTGCTTGGACCAAATTAAAACCTTTTTGTAAAGCATCCCATTGCACTGTTGGTTGGAGACTACGCGTTTATCAGGCTGTCATTCAAAACAAACTGATTTATGGTCTTGAAACCGTGCACTTGACACAGGCAATGCTAAACAAGATTAACGCGTTTCAACTGCGGGGGCTTAGATCTATATTAAATCTAGAGCCCACATTTGTTAACAGAAGAACCACCAACGAATTTGTGCTTAGAACGGCTTCCGAAAAAGCTGGGCACGAAGTGAAACTTTTCTCCGAACTTCTTTTGGACAAACGAGTTAAACTATCTGGACACCTTTTGAGAGCAACAGACTCGGACCCAATGAGACAAGTAGTTTATTCTCCTCAATCAGCAAACGCATATCCGATTGGTAAAAGGAGGGTAGGAGCGCCTCGGCAACAATGGCGCCACTTCACCCATAAACATATTTGGAGCAAACTTACGAACGGACGGATGGACTATTTAAACACGGACGAGCAAAACAGGCGAATCCACCAAATGGCTCTCGCACGACAATTTTAAGCTGTCGCAGTGCCGGCCCACAGACGCTTTAGCGACCATGGCCGGAAAAAATCATTAATGTGAGTAAAACAATGCCAGTTTACCACCCATCACTGGGAATGGTAACCATACGCACAAACCCCCCAGTTCGCCCACACACACTTCTTGGCGATTTTGAATGAATATAAATTCCCACCCCCGTTAAACTTTACATTCAATTGGGAAGATCAACAAGGGTATTCGGGAATATAAATTCCCACCCCCGTTAACCTTTACATTCAATGGGGAAGATCAACAAGGGGATTAGGGAATATGAATCCCACCCCTGTTAAACGTTACATTCAATTGGGAAGATCAACAAGGGTATTAGGGAATATAAATTCCCACCCCCGTTAAACTTTACATTCAATTGGGAAGATCCACAAGGGGATTAGGGAATATGAATACCCACCCCCGTTAAACTTTACATTCAATTGGGAAGATCAACAAGGGGATTAGGAATATAAATTCCCACCCCCGTCAAACTTTACATTCAATTTGGAGGATCAACAAGGGAATTAGGGAATATAGATTCCCACCCCCGTTAAACTTTACATTCAATTGGGAAGATCAACAAGGGGATTAGGAATATAAGTTCGCACCCCCGTTAAACTTTACATTCAATTGGGAAGATCAACAAGGGTATTGGGGAATATAAATTCCTACCCCCGTTAAACTTTACATTCAATTGGGAAGATCAACAAGGGGATTAGGGAATATAAATTCCCACCCCCTTTACACTTTACATTCAATTGTGAAGATCAACAAGGGGATTAGGAATATAAATTCCCACCCGCGTTAAACTTTATATTCAATTGGGAAGATCAACAAGGGCATTAGGGAATAATGTCAAGTGAGGATTAATAATGCCCTCCCGATTAATCAACAGCAACTGCCCAAAAAAATATATAATTTAAAAACAGGTGGTCTCCCCAGATTAATAAATTTTTTGGCCTACCCCCGATTGATCAACAACCACTTCGGAAATCCATTTTTTTATCCAACATTTTTTATTTCCAATTCTATTTATTTCCAATTGTTTTTTTACCTTTTTTTTAATCATCATTGTTACTTCAGGTTTAAGTTGATCATTGAAAATTTCAAAAAACAACTATTCCCCAAATGATCGATTTCTAATTAAAATATTTATAAAAAACATCAATTTGGATAGCTCCCAAAGGGTACCCCCCATGAGCCCATGTCCCCCAGTAATAATAACCATGGTTTGCCCCTGATTAATCAACCACCTTTCTGATCCATGAAATTTTAACAAATCCAATGGAATTCTATTAAGATCTAATTGACGTAAGCCATATCCAAAGTTTTATGGTTCAGAGTTGCTTATTATTAAGCGGCGATCAAGAAAACCAGTCAGAAGGTACCTCCCTACCTTCTGGGGGGGGTTATTAATCCGGTGTTGGCATTATAAATTCCCACCCCCGTCAAACTTTAAATTCAATTGGGAAGATCAACAAGGGGGTTAGGAATATAAATTTCCACCCGCGTTAAACTTTACATTCAATTGGGAAGATCAACAAGGGGATTAGGGAATATAAATTTCCACCCCCGTTAAACTTTACATTCAATTGGGAAGATCAACAAGGGTATTCGGGAATATAAATTCCCGCCCCCTTTAAACTTTACATTCAATTGGGAAGATCAACAAGGGGATTAGGGAATATAAATTCCCACCCCCGTTAAACTTTGCATTCAATTGGGGAGATCAACAAGGGGATTAGGGAATATAAATTCCCACCCCCGTTAAACGTTACAGTCAATTGGGAAGATCAACAAGGGTATTCAGGAATATAAATTCCCACCCCCGTTAAACTTTACATTCAATTGGGAAGATCAACAAGGGGATTAGGGAATATAAATTTCCACCCCCGTTAAACGTTACATTCAATTGGGAAGATCAACAAGGGGATTAGGAAATATAAATTCCCACCCCCGTCAAACTTTACATTCAATTTGGAGGATCAACAAGGGTATTCGGGAATATAAATTCCCACCCCCGTTAAACTTTACATTCAATTGGGAAGATCAACAAGGGTATTCGGGAATATAAATTCCCACCCCCGTTAAACTTTACATTCAATTGGGAAGATCAACAAGGGGATTAGGGAATATGAATACCCACCCCTGTTAAACTTTACATTCAATTGGGAAGATCAACAAGGGGATTCGGGAATATAAATTCCCACCCCCGTTAAACTTTACATTCAATTGGGAAGATCAACAAGGGGGTTAAGGAATATAAATTTCCACCCGCGTTAAACTTTACATTCAATTGGGAAGATCAACAAGGGGATTAGGGAATATAAATTTCCACCCCCGTTAAACTTTATATTCAATTGGGAAGATCAACAACAAGGGTATTCGGGAATATAAATTCCCACCCCCGCTAAACTTTATATTCAATTGGGAAGATCATCAAGGGTATTCGGGAATATAAATTCCCACCCCCGTTAAACTTTACATTCAATTGGGAAGATCAACAAGGGGATTAGGGAATAGAAATTCCCACCCCCGTCAAACTTCACATTCAATTGGGAAGATCAACAAGGGGATTAGGGAATATAGATTCCCACCCCCGTTAAACTTTACATTCAATTGGGAAGATCAACAAGGGGATTAGGGAATATAAATTCCCACCCCCGTTAAACTTTACATTCAATTGGGAAGATCAACAAGGGTATTCGGGAATATAAATTCCCACCCCCGTTAAACTTTACATTCAATTGGGAAGATCAACAAGGGGATTAGGGAATATGAATACCCACCCCTGTTAAACTTTACATTCAATTGGGAAGATCAACAAGGGTATTCGGGAATATAAATTCCCACCCCCGTTAAACTTTACATTCAATTGGGAAGATCAACAAGGGAATTAGGGAATATAAATTCCCACCCCCGTCAAACTTTACATTCAATTGGGAAGATCAACAAGGGGATTAGGGAATATAAATTCCCACCCCCGTCAAACTTTACATTCAATTGGGAAGGTCAACAAGGGTTTCTGGGTCCCGTGATTCTGGGCCTCCGCAAATCAGTTTGGCTCATAAGGATTCCGGTGTCTCAAACATGGAGTGGTTACAGGTGGATCATAGCTGTCGGAAAATCATCCGATTATATCTCGATGCGAAGAGCAATGATGTGCTCAACACCACGTGCTGGTGTGAAGATCCAGTGTGTATGATGTTGTGTCTCGGCAAAGCAAATGGTCAATCACTCTGGGGCAGCCACCTCTGTGCATTCATGGTAGTTGACATGCTAGAATATTGAATGTTGCGTTTGTCAGCTACAGTATAGAAAAGATACTTGTTTCCTTCCATTTCTGGCTCTGCTGAGGCTTGCCGACGAGTTCGCCAAGGACAAGGACCTGAAACCCAAAACAGAGCCCAAGAGGCGGGTTGACCGCGCCCGCTTCCGAATCCCTAAGTAGAGACATGGGCAATGGCGGAAAAAAAGTGGCTCGGCATGTGAAGTTGAGCAAGAGCAATCGGGACAAGAATCCTTTCGCAAAGAAGGTGTCCCAAAACAAAGCCTTCAAGAAAAGGCACGGCATCAAATACTTGGGAGCGACAGATGCTATGCCTGACAGTCTCAAGTTGGCAGATCTTGACATTCCTCCATATGAACACATTGTCAACATGTCAGAGGAAAATGCCCGCCGATTCCTGATCCAACATGGAGTCCTTCCTCACAACCGACACCGTTTGGCGCTCAGGTGCTGGGGATGTCAGGCTGAAATGGTCAAGCAAGTCAAAGGCTGGCGCTGTCCTTCTGGCAGGCAGTGTAAGGTGCGGGCACGCATCGAAAATGCTGATTTGATTTGGACACCTTTTGCAACCTACAATAAAGGACCGGGTTTGGGAAACAAGCCTTCCTACAAAGGTTTCCTGAGATCGGCTTATACATTGGGTTTGAAAATGTCGGCTAATCAGGCAGCTCATGTTACCAGGACAGAAAACATCACCCATAAGGCGCAAATGAAGCGCCTCGAGCACTACAATCGCTGGCATCGAATCGTTTTGGCCTTCAGTGAGTACAAGCACGCTCAGGAGCATCGCTTCCCCACGGAGGTCATCGAGTGCGACGCTGCTCGTTTTGGGACAACTAGATGTTCAGACGGCGCTCGGATGCACAGGCCGTACTTTGGTTTTGGAAGGTCGTCAAAGCAAGCAATGGACTTGCCAGCCCTTGCCGCCGAAGATTAGTTACGGCAAGAGAGGTATGGGCCCAGAAACCATCTCAGAAGCTCGTCCTGAGTCGTCCTGCCATTCAGTCGCAAACTCCATTAACAGCGTTGCTAGGCGTTGACGGTGTAAAAGCCTGGCCTGCCGCCGCGGGTCCGCGTGTGATCTTAGGAGCAGTCAATCATCAAAAGAAGGTGTTCACTCCAGCAAGTGCTGTCTGGAAAGAAGAAGGGGGCTGCTTCCTACAAACAACATTATGTACCGAGTTGCTGGAGGAGACAACGCCGTAGAGGGGACATTTGGAATGATCTCCAACTGTCTCCGCAAAACCAATTCCAGAGGAAGAAATGCCAAATCCAAGACCCGGACCTTGCTGGCACAGTCTGCGGCCGCCCTTGTGAGACGACCTGGAGTAAACAACATCCTCTCAGCCTCTCAGCTTACAAGACGTACAGGGAAGCTCTGCTTACAGGACCCCTGGGCCTCAGTCCGCAGCAAGCGTTCAAACTGGAGAAGTTGACGTGGCTGATTCCCACAGAAGAAGAGGAGCGAGACACGGAGACTTAGAGTCTTGCACGCTTTGCTATGATACCAAAAAAAGAGATGTGCTTGCGGCAGAGGATGGTGATGATGATGATGATGATGTTGATGCTGTTGTTGTTGTTGTTGCTGTTGCTGTTGCTGTTGCTGTTGGTGTTGTTGTTGTTGTTGTTGCTGTTGTTGTTGTTGTTGTGGTTGTTGTTGTTGTTGCTGTTGTTGTTGCTGCTGCAACATTCAACGCACAGGTAGCTAAGCTGTGCGTTGCAAGATGAAAGCCATGATCGTGGACATGTGCATTTTGTCCCACAAAACATAGTGTTTTTTGATGCTCGGACATGTCATCAACGTCGGCGTGGGCAAACTGAGGTGTTTTACCGTAACCATACCACATACAAATGGTGATTTCGGGGATGGTTTATTATTGTTTTACCCACATTAGATAAATCCATTGGTTAGTCACGGTTAGTCATCATTTTCCCCATTGAGCTATAAGTTGGCGGTAAATCGCAACTTTTAGGGAAAGAACCCCCCTGGTATTGTCTCATGGGACGTAAGGACCCAAGACCAGAGTCTGAGACTACGTACCTAGCCCCACACAGAAGGCACCAGATCTACTTTCTTTGGATAGTTATTGTCATGGATAAGTATGGCAGTATGGCAGGTTTGGTGTTTTGTTACAACTGACAGACATAGATTCCTAATGTATCCTAGCGTCACTACCGATGCTTTGGATGGTGTCACCCCAATCTCCCTGGCCAACTTCAGCCACTTTTTGGGACAGCCAAGCAGAAACAGAAACAGCCACCATCTCCTTTGTTTTGACATTAGTTTTGGAAGTGAAACATCACTGGAATTTGGGAGTCATTTTACGGATGCCCACCGGCCGATTGAAGCTTGCCGATTTCGGCTGCGCAAGCCAGGTGCCGGAGCATGGACTCTTTTTTGGTAGAGCCGGCTCCTTCAAGAGCTGGGCACCTGAGGTCCATGCACTCTCCAGCGGCTACAACGCTGGCTACGGTGGAAAGAGCGCAGACATTTGGTCCGGTGGCATTTGCTCCCATGAGCTGATTTGTGGGCGGTACCCCTTTCGAGGGAGGACACCGCGGGAAACCAGGCAGGGTATAACCACCAACCAGATGAAGAACAAGATATTAGCTGGGCCAGATCCAGCAGATCGGCCAGATCCAGCAGATCCTGACCTGAATGGGTCTCGTTTTCGAGGCATCCTGGAATGAGTTTGAGGAATAACAACCGCACACACACACACACACATGGGTCCCCGGAGAAATTGCAAAATCACTTGCATCCTGAGAATGACATGTTGTTTGAATACCCCCATGGACAAACCATGACAAAGCAAGTTTTGTCCAGTGATTCAGGCTGATCCCTTTATCATGATTCATGGCCTGAAGCCCTAAGAATATTCATCCCCAACGCTCCATGGTGTTGGAATATGTACCAAATTGATCCAAATTGTACCAACATTTACCCAATGTGCACATCTATATCTGTTTTTTTTCCGCATCAGATCCCCACAAAAAGGGAGAGCGGTTGAAAGTTGAACATCTCCATATCCGTATCCCCATCCTGGGGTCCTCAGGCGTTTGGAAGACTCCTTCGCGACAGACTTTTCAGGTGCCTTCGGAGCGCTGATATCAAAATAGCAGCCCCCAAGAAGATCGAAAAGTCGAATCCTACACATGTTTCATAAATGGCCATTTATAGCTACTGAAAATGAAACATAGCTATTGAAAATGTGTAGGAATTGACTTTTCAAGTGATTACCCTCTGGTAATTTAACATAGCTATTTAAAATAACCATTTGTAGTTGATTTACCCACTAAAAATGGTGATTTTCAACAGCTGTGTTAGTTTACCAGAGGGTAATGAAAAACGTGTGTAGGATTTGATAATCACTGGTCAAAGTATGTTTCAATGTTTTTGCCGGAGTGCTAAGACCATCTAAAACCCAATCGCCACCCTTTCTGATGTATTAATACGTTTTCTGTATTCAAACCCGGGGGACATTTCACTGCCCCTTTTGTATCTTTGGTAAGTTAGGTGAGGACAAGTTCACTAAACATATTGAATTTCCAGAAACAAGTAAATCTATCACGTTTCCAAACATTAGTGAACATGCTGTTACCATCGTGTTTTTTTCATTCACGGTCTTCATTTTTTCGTGTGCCTGTCATGCTAACATGTTTTTCAAGTATCCAGATCCCAAGTTGAAGTCATCGTTACCCCCGGTTGGTGTGGAGGTGGCCCCAGCTGTGGCCACCCATGGCTCGTCATGGACGCCCTCATGGACAGGATCTCACCGGAACTGGAGGTATGTTCTCAGCAGAAACGCCGATCGGCGGATCAAAGGACATGATGCTGGTTGGTGGTTTCAAACATGGTTTCTATTTTCCATAATATATGGGATAATCGTTCCCATTGACTAGTATTTTTCAAGATGGTTAAAACCACTAACCAGGATGTATGATGAGTGCGCACAAGCAGCATTCTGCATGGCGCTCATTCGGCTCGGGAGTGGGCGCTTCAACGGGCTACGTCCTGTGCCAGATTGCCAGGCTGTGAGCAGCTCAGACCTGACTTTGCAGCGTGCCCAGCATATGAACTTGTGGGAGGTCAGGGAGTCTGACTCAAAGCATGTATGAGACAAATACCTCTGGTCAATCAAGTTGAAACTGTGAAACATATGATGATATGCTTATGATATTACAGGGAATTCCCTTGTTTATTAATGTTTATTTTGGCCAACACCTGATATTCGTTGATTTATCATGGTTCATAACAGCCAAGCGTGCTTCTGAACGGCCTTGACATTGCAATGAATGATTTTTTTCAATGATGGTCCTATGCTTTGGTCCCAAGATGCGGCGGAACCCCCCAAAAAAGCTGTTTGACGGCAAATACCAAATCTGTGGATTAACCCAAATTGCGGATGATATGCGAAACAATAAAGATACTAGTTTAAAATGTCCAGCATTAGCCTCAGTTAATCTGTACCGTATTATTTCACATTATTACACCTGTTCAGAAAAAGGAAACCAACTTAGCTACCCAGAGGCTTCCTTTTGTACATTTTCTCCAGTTGATATTATAGCCAACTGAGATAATGGTTTACTCCGTTGAAACACCATGCTTGACAAGCCATTCATTCGGCTGATTTTTCTTAAAGTGGAGGTACCCAAACATCATCCAAGTCCGTAGTCCAGTATCATTGCAACTTCGCGGTATTTTACCGAAGATCGCCTGTTTTGAGAAACACCCCTCATGGTTTTGTTGAAGAACAGGCTCCAAACAATCATCATCATCATCATCATCATCGCCATCATCATCATCATCATCATCATCATTATCATCCATCACCATCACCATCACAATCACCATCAACACCATCATCATCATCATCATCATCATCATCATCATCATCGCAATCACCATCATCATCATCATCATCATCACCATCATCATCATCATCATCATCATCCATCATCATCCATCATCGTCATCATCATCATCATCAGTTTGCTCAATCAAAAATGACTTAAATAATCTACTATAATCTTATGTAGACATTTTCCCCAAACGAAATGACTTAGAATGACCAGTAGCTGTGGGTAATCCTCCTGATCTCCACCGCCAGATCGCCTGTCCTCGGAGCTGGGCTCCTCTGTCGAGGTGAAGGTGCGGAATCCCAGTCATGTGGCTACAACCAAAGATCAACATATAAATGAAAACTATAAACGTATATATACATACATATATATATAATATATATATAATATATATATATATATAATATATATATATATAATATATATATATACCTGCACCGCCCAGTGGTACAGATAAATGTGTACTTTTAGGGTGTTTGGTACACTTTTTTGGTGTGGCTAATAATGGCTACGTTTTGTGCCGTTTTCAGTTTTGCCAGCCCCTTCCCAACTTCTGCTCAAACATATACGTCCAAATCAGCCCTGTTGGCAAGCATGTGGATGGGTTTGAAGCCTAGTCGGCCTATAGTTACTTTCACAATGCGTTTGTTGAAAGATGACATGGTCACAGATGATGTGACCGACATGCAGCGATTAATATGTGCCAAATTTCCCCGTACCCCATATTTAGCTTTACCATGATTTACCTCAATCAAAGAGCAAGGCTGCTGCGCACGATATTGAAGACGTTCTTGTTTCCATGCATGACTGGATACATGACTTATCTTTCAGATGGTTGCATCTGATTCCTCCCCCAGGATAAAAATCGGTTTTTTCCGCTCGCTGTGAAATGTTTGAAGCCCTGCCAATGGGTAACTCATGGCACAACGCACATGTTTGATGCATGGGACTATCTGTGGAAACACCTCATGGCAAAATTAGCCGGCCTGTGGCATGGCTGTGCATGACAAAGTTTGACCGCGAACTCTGGGAAACACGGTCAGGTTGACGTTTGCTTGATGAAAAATGGTGCCTTGCATATCCCCCTTGGAATTTCCTCTAAAGAATAAGACAACCCGGGTTGTCAGTTTTCGCTTGATTTTTTAGTGAATTAACTTTGCCTGTTTGCATGGGGGCGCGTTCTCTATGAAGGCCACCCGGGTATGATTCTTTAGAAAACTTTGTTCTAAAATGACCTTGTCAATTTCATACGGGAGAATGTCTACAACTCAAAAACGGGTGTTCTAATTCTTTAGGCATTTTTTTGGCCCTCTCAAGGGGTGCAACCGGGTATGATTCTTTAAGCCTCTGGCATTAGGGTGGCCAACTGGGTTTGATTCTTTAAGCACTGTACCAGGTGCCTGTACATAAGGATCCCCATTCTTTAAAGATAGTTTTTGGTGGCACAGGGCGTCCCTTTAAAGAATCTGAACACCCGGGTTAGGGACGTAATTCAAAGGGAGATCCTTGCATTAGATCGGCTTTGGCATGCATGATGTTGACATGTTGCGCCTGATATTATCCAAGTGTCTTGCGCGAAACGGGTGCGAAAACGCGCGAAACAGTCGCAAAAAAGCGCGAAACGTGCGCGAAAAAAAAGTATACCACTTGACCCTCTTGTTTTGACTGTCATGACGTGTCGCGTGTTCCGAAGACCCTTTTTGCGCATGGTCCGAACAGAAGGCATGGTCCGAAGAGAAGGTCTGGGGGGGTGCGCATGTTTCTGGATTTTGTCGCGTGTAGTGTTCATGTTATATGTGTTATGTATTTGCTTGTTGTGACTGTGGTGTTTTTTGTGTTGAATGTTGAACGCCCTGCATGAGGATTCTTCGTGTGAAGAAAATAATGCCCGACTGCTGATGCGGTGTTTTGAAAATTGCGCTATAGCTGAAGGTTGTTTGCTGGAGGTATCTTGGCCTATGAAAAACATACGTGATGTTGAGGTGGATACTTTAGATTTACCCTGTCCAAAGCTCGGTTGTTTACATGTGCTGCGATGCAACCCATGTTGTCAAGCGTGGCTGTTCGAGGTCGTATTTGGCATGCTGCACATGCATTAGCCCGTGACAAAAGTGTCCTATCGAGCCTATGGAGAAAGAATCAGGTTGATTTCTATGGGGAGCCATGGAACTCCGGACTCGGACACCTTTTTTTTCAGAAACCTAAACGGGCACATTTTTGAAATCGGGCAGAACAAAATGTTACACATTTTTGTGTACCAATGGGAGGTTTCAGGTATATATATATATATGTAGATAGACAGAGATCTGAAATAAATAAAGAGACTATAGGTAGTTTGTTTTTTTTATATATATATATATACATCAATCCCAATGGGAATTAACAATAATAAATCATTATTAGCAATGATTCACCGGAGTACTGTATGTTTTTCCGAGATATTCATACGATAATTAATGCGACAACAATGGATTTTTACCCTTTTGTGTCCTGGAAAATCCCTGAACTAACTATCTACATGTAAACGGAGTTGGTTTAGGTTCAATCGGACAATCAACAAAGTAAATGGTTGATTTTCCAGCCAACCATGTGACTGATTACCATAATAGGGCAACAACACATTAACCCCAATTAAGGGTGGTTGATTGCGTTTACCTCATTGCACCAAATTTGCCATGTTCAGTATGTTCAGTAGGAAATTGTTAATGACTATGGGAGTTCGAGGTACCTATTCTCGAGCAAACCCATATGATTTGTTTGGGGTGATATGGCCATGGGATATAAACACTTTATGGGGGACAGAACTGACTAACAATCTGATTTGGGTGTGTCTGAAAATGATGTGTTTGTAACGCCAATATATGGCCATTGAGCACGAAATACCTGACTTTTGCACAAATCCGGACAGTCAGTCTGACCAAATTTGGATCAAGTTGGAGATCTGTTGTTACATATCTTGGACCCATACCCATGTCAGCTCTGAAATGCCAATTCCCCTTGTTGGTTGCTGGTTATTGTTTCTGACTGGTTCTTAATATGGACTACAAAAAACGACCAGGATGATACAGGGTTGAGTTGCTAGTGCTCAAGTGGAATGATAAGATCTGTGGTTTGCTCATGAGTTCCATGGCTGGAAAATCCAGAAAATTTAGTTCATTGATTTTCCCAGTTATAAACTTACATTGAATTGGGGACTTTCCACCTTGCCATGTTTGATTACAGGAGGGTATCCGGTTTGAAGGATGGAATGCCAGCAAAATCCTTGTTATGAAGGAAACTTGGATGTGCGGCAGCACGTCGCATTTCGTACTTGGTTAAAGTCATTGTTAGTAAGCCTTTGACAGTTTATTCCATATACGGACTGGTTCAAAATGTAGTTATCCAAAAGTTCATGGTCGTATCGGTTCCCAGTACCATACATAGTGTTGGTATTTCAATGTGCACGAATGGGTGATGTTGGGATTAAACGTTCCTGAAGAATGCTGAATATACATGAATAATTTATATATATATATATATCATAATTCATCCAAATGTCTGTGTATATTGTTATCTATCTAACTATGCATCTATCTAATTATTCATACACAGACAGATCATGTGCATGATTTCCTCATCGCCAAGCCGGACAGGTTTTCCCTTGTTTGCTAGATGTATATTTAGGGTATGTGGTATATCATACTGTGGATGGAAGAATTCCTGCACCACTTTGGATGGTAGAAACCTATAGATAATGGGTTAAATCACTTATCAGCTGGTGCAGGATTTCACAACCATCCACAGTATGTTTAAGATTGCTTAAGCGTACTAAATTACTAGCCTCCCTCTCTCGGTATACATCATGACATGTCATGTAGCATACTGTTTACACAATGACCGCCCGGAACATATTTACAATATCTTTTCCAAACAATATCCATCAATATATCCCGTATGCGCTATGTATTGAATATTTACCAACTTTGAGGTCAATTTGGGAGTGAATGTTGCTACGTATTCTGTATGTGGAACATGCGGGTGTGTCATGTTATCCACCTGTCAAAATCCATGTTTGGAAAAACTTTGTATCTTTAGGGAATATTTAATACTGAACATGTTTTGAATTCAAACAATTCATGTCTGAACATTTGTTTGACCATTTTTTGAATTCAATAAAATCATGTCAGAACATTTGTTTGACCATTTTTTGAATTCAAAAAAATAATGTCCGAACATTTTTTGACCATTTTTGAATTCAAAAAATCATGTCTGAACATGTGTTTGATTTCAAGAAATATTCCATGAATTTTGTGAAGCTAAAGATTTACATCCGATCAGTTTGGTGAACATTGACCTGGAAAACTCTGACGGCCGCCGGCGGCCGCCCACTGGATTCGGGAAGAGATTGCCCGACCTACCAGAGGGTGAGCCTTACAGGCAACAAGGTGGTTCTTACCCCACGAGGTGAACATCAGCCTGCTGAGGGCGAAGGCTGGAGTTGAAATCGGCTCGGATTCGGTGTCGCAGATCGGCCTTACAGAAGATGCTTTGAGGAAGCATAACCGATAACCGGAGGCTGGTGAGTGCTGAGATGCCTCCGCCTGCTGTTCCAAAGGCAGGCAAATTGCCGCACAAGCAAAAGGCACCAGCTGCCTTCTCAGGTGCTGCTTCCAATGCAGCTGTGGTTATAGGCTCTAAACCCCCTGCGACTCTGCCACCTGGCTGCAAACCTCAGCTTCTTCCGCCGCCGAGCATTCCTCCGCCTGGGGTTAGCCACTCCCCTTGAGAAAGCAAAGGCCCCAGGGCCAACTGCGTCTCTCTGCAAAGGCTCCAAATCCATTTTCTTAGAAGGCTCCAGAGCCAGCTCCTCCAGCAAAAGCCAAGTCAGTGATCGAAGGCTTCCCCAAGTATCGGTGAGCTCCCATGTTGAGGACCGGACCAGTTGTAACTTGCTATGACTTCTAGCCCACTAGATCCCCAATTATAGTCCATGTGCTAGTTAATTATCCTCATAGTAAACTAACATAGCTGTGAAGAATCATTATTCAACGATGAATCAATAAATGGACCTGTGCCGATTTTCCATTTACTCAGTGGTCAATCTAAGTAGTTAACTATTTGCAATGGAATAGTAACTAGTAGCCAGTCTATGCCCATCTACTAACGAGTAACCAATAGTTTAGTTCATTTAGTGACTACTTAGAGTATTACTATTACAGTAGCTACACTATAACTTCATCAGCATCTACTATATAATACCCTACTAGTAGTAATACTAATGATAGATGTTGATTAAGTACTATACCAACATATACCAACACATACCAACTACCAATCTACTAACTTAACCTACTTAGTATATTACCATTAGTTTCGTGGCCGAGGTTGTGCTGCCTCCCGACGTGGCACGCCGCAGCGAGGCTTTCCCCAGCTGTGGCTTGCCGCCGTGCGGGCGCCTAGGGGGCGGTTTAGGCTGCCCAGCCCCCAACAAAAATCACGGGCTTCCGGGCTTCAGTGACACGACTTGGTGGTTCATCCCACTTAAGTGGGTTAGTTCACCCTAGTTTGTTTGGTGGATTTAGCCTACTTATCCCACTTATAATTGGAGTTGTAATCCACTTACTGGGATGAGCCGCCAAGAAGGGAAACTTGCCGCAACTTGGATATACTGTTGCCTCGGCCCAAATTCACATAGACCCTCAAAACACACAGTTTTTTTAGTGGCAACACGTGGCAACTAATGTTCCAACCCCAAACTCATGGCAAGGCCTAGGTTAGTTTGCAGGATGGTAACCGGGTTGACAAGCAAAAATCAGGAGTTAAACAATATATACAGATCAGAGTTGTATGTGATTTTTGATTGGTTACTTAACCAACAAGAATTAGGGCCAAAAAAAGTGGGTTTTGACCGACAGGAACAAGGTTTTAGAAACAGATTCCCAGACTTGGATAAAGTGAAAAAAATGAAGGAACCAACCGTTGGTTTCCCCTAAGGTCGGTGGCGAACTCTGCCAGAAACTGGTCCTCCACCAGCTGTTTGGGCCGAACTTGGCGGGGGGCCTTAAGCGGTTTTGACGGTGACAGGGATGCCGCCTTCACAAAAAAAAAAAAAGAAAGGTGGCAGATCACATATAATCCCCAACCTTGGATAGATAGTTTAATCATGTTCAATCCTTTAGTTGTTTGCTATAAATGGAAAATAAGGTTTGCCATGATATATGGAGGTCTCCATAAATGTGGGGTATCCCTAAATCATCTATTTGAATACGATTTTGCATTATAACCATATATAAACCGACTATTTTGAGGTACCCCCATTTATGGATACCTCCATATGCTGTAACTATATATAATATACAGTAAGCATACATCCCCATGTAATTACTGTATATATATATATAGTGGTAATGTATAGTTAGTATATAGCTGTAGTGTATATGATGCACATATATATATATATATGGATGAATTATTATAATGACCTCACTGTTTTCCGTCACTGGAACGATGGGAATTGGATTCGGGGAATTTGCAATTTGACCAACCTTATAACAGCTAGTTTCAGGTTGGTGAAGTATAGTGAAGTATATTTTCTTCAGCCACAATATGTGCCATGGTCAAAACATGGTAAACATGCCCAGTTGGGGATGGATGCAAGCCAAAAGAACCATTTGTTGTCAGAACATGACACTAATATAAAGACTCGGAGTTATTGAATGGTGAAATGTTGGGATAGATTATAATCGAATATAGACTGTAAGCAACCATCAAAAAATGTATTTACCACATTTTACCACTCAAAATGTCCTAAGCATCCTCAGTTTTTCAATGAACAACTACCAGCAACATGTTAGTGCGGCGCGAATATGTTTTTCCTCATGGTTGATTGTTTTTTTTTGAGGGTCAAGGTGGTTGAGCAAGTGGTGGAAATGCGCAGTTGCAACATGTGGCAATGGTGTCCTATTTTTTCTACGTTTGGAAATGAAAGTTGAAAGGAATTGATGGACTTTTCTAGTGAGAATTTGGATTAGTAGACAGGCAGCCCTTACCCTTTGGTAAACTAACATAGCTATGGAAAATCACCATCTTTAAGTTCGGTAAATCAACGAACTTTTCATGGGCCATTTTTTTCAATGGCAAAGTGTAACAATTGACCAGAGGGTAGGTGAATTTCAGTCAAACAATTGGGATTAGTCCCTTCTCCCTATTACTAAACTCCCCTTAATAATAAAAACTAGCCTTAGGTTTATTTTTTTGGGGGGGGACGTTTAATATTAGGGTAAAGGGATTATACATGATTTCAGTCAAACAATTGGGATTATACATGATTAAATGGGCCTATAATGATATACAGCTAGCTTATAACTTATATAACTAAATAACCATAGTTATAGTTTCTGAGGAAACAGCTGGTGGATCCACCCTCTTCCAGCCAGGTCTGACGGACCCTGTGACGTGCCATGTGATGTGGGTTTCCTGCCGGAAGGAGGCCGGCTGCGTTGAAGAAGTAAATTGTGGATATTTGGGGATTAGAACATATTGGAACATCATAAATAACATGAAATGATCCATGCATGGCAATCCCGTTCTTAAAGCCAGGCAGTCGAAGGGACGGCAGAAGGGTTTTGAAACACTGCTCAAGTCGCAAATCCATACGCAAAAGGTAGCAGACTATCCACATGAATAGGTATATCTAGAAGGAGGTGGAGACAATTGACAGATTTGACAGATACCCTCTGGATCCCTCTGGACGAGTTGTTTGCCCGAAGGGCCATACCTGAGGGCGGACCCAGCAACCATCAACCCATTGGAAAATCCACCGGCTCCATGGAACAATTAACCATATTTCTATTAGGGTTTCATTTAGGGTTTATATAAGTTATAACCGTTATACCACATGAACACTCCAGACTCGCCAAAAAAGTGAAAAACGGGACAAGGCCGACACGCATGAAGTCCGCAGAGGGTCACTTTTCCGACAGATTTTTCCAAAAAAAATACGTGGAACATAGTAACCCAAAGATGTACCAAAGTCATAAAAACACTGCGCCTGCGCAGTGAAATGAGCCCCCTTAAGACGTTACGCATTCCGTTCCGGGCAAGCCCTCAGTCCTGCCTGTAATTTAACATAGCTACGGAAAATGACCATAAAAATGGTTGATTTACTTATCACAAATTTTATGCTGATTTTCCAGTTCGCAAAGTGTTAAATTACCAGAGGGTATGTGACCAACCATGGTCAAGCTACACGGTTGATGTTCCAATATTTGTGTTGATGGTTTGGATTTGGATCCCTTCATAGGGGTTCATTTACCCACGATGAGGAATCCCATTTTGATCCCGTATACTATTTGTCGAAACCATGGCACCTGCACTGTGCATGGTGATGTATTGCATATGTAATAAGAGAATCTAGGGATGACTTTCTGTCAGATTATGTCGTGTGTTATTATTTCTTTTGTGGGAAAGTGGAAGATGGCGATCCCAAAAGACAACACATCCAGCTTTGTTTGATGTTGCAATAGCTGTAACGATTGTTTGTCGCCAAATTCTACTCGTTGCTGGACACCACTCTTACATATCATATGTTTAAATACATGCACGGGGCTTAATCAATTGAACTTAACATCAACAATCACATGTTCGAAGATGATAGTCCTGCAGATCCCAAGATGCTTCTGTTCCGACACATGGGAAATCCATGGGAAATCCCATCGGGAAATCCAGGTCCCCATGTTTCGGGAAAAAAAATCCCCATGTCATGGGGAAATCCCATGTTTTGTTGCCAACATCGCTGGTCAGGTGGATTTCTCTGTAGTTTAGATGGAGAATGGTCCTCTTCGCCACGCTGTGTTGGTTCCTCTCAGATGGCTGCAACGGCTGCTGCAACGGCTTGAGTTTTCGGCTGGAAACAACCGAACAAATGCTGGTTCCATTCAGGAAGATCAGAGTTTTAGGGTATATTGGAAATGACGTATATTAGCATATTGGCCGGAAACTGAGTATGCTATGGTATGTTGACATGTTGACATCGCGGGTCGCTGGTTTTTGACCCATCCCTGAAATCATTCAACATGTTGGAAGCATACGTAGTTTCACAGGCTCAAGCATGTTTTGATTTGAGTTGTTGACCTGCAGAGCGACTGAGGCCTCAATTTGGTCTGTGGGAGACTGGGGTACATGTCAAGGACCTGAAATACTTTCCGTGCTCGACTATTGGAGGTGTGAAGATGCGTCAGTTCCCTTGCATCCACATCCCCTCATGTGTAATGTTGACTCAGAATTCATACATCTATGATATGGTTAGTTGAGTAAGTCACCCATGGGTGGTTAAGTACGTTTATCACTCCACTTGAAACTTGTAATGAGCCACCGTAGACATGCGGGCCACCGTAGACATGCGGGATCACAGTCATGAACTGTATCAGCGATTGAAACACTTGCTAGGATGTTAATGCAGCATTGAAGATGATGCCTGGATACCAGTGATACCAGACTTTGCTTTTACCGGAAACGCTCGGCAAACCAATGAAGGACCTGATTTTGGAAAGACAAAAGTGACAAAACCATAAAAAAGATCATAGATGTCGGAAGGTTTTATTTTCCTTTCAACATCTTGCCAGATCCTGCCAGTGAAAGTAGCATTTGCTGATTACATCCCCGTCAAAGTGGACTTGCCATATGTGTGTTTCTTGTTGATAAAACATGACAAAACCATATAACATAATATACAACATTATATAACACATTCCTCTACCTTCCAAGTACCCATAAAAATTTGTATTTTGACCCATAATTTCAGTACTTTAATCCCTTTCTCTAGAAAAAGGCACTTGGAGAGTCTAAATCTCGGCTGATCCAGGTGACAACATACTTAAACTGCTTGGTGGTTTGGAACATGATTTTTTTCCATTCAGTTGGGAATGTCATCATCCCAACTGACTTTCATATTTTTCAAGATGGTTATTGCACCACCAACTTCAGTGAAGTTCCATCATTTTTTGTATCGAACATGGCAACTTGGTGGCTCCATGGGAACCCTTTGCAACTAAAGTTGATGCTTCGTTAATGGTGAAAATTGATAGCCGTTAATTCCATGAACAACTCCCATCATTTCAGATATATTTTGCAATTGTGGCTAGAAAAAATCCACAACACTAATATCATTTTTCCATTTCAATCCAAAAAAAATGAAAACATCCATTTGAATCCCATAAATTGGTATCGATTTAAATACCAAGTCATCCCATGTCTTGCTGACTTGGTGCCGGGCACGCCGGGCTCCAGGAGTTGCTGACCACTGCGGTGATGGAGGATTGCAGCAGCGCCAGGCGGAGATGATTCGGATTTTTTGGCGCCCAAAAAATGGCGGAGTTCAGCGATTTCAGTGACAGAAATAGGAGTTTTTATGGACTTTGAAGATGTTTGATGCATTGAACAAAATACTCAAAAGTTGAAAGTCACCATGAAATTAAACTGGATTGTCAGAACTCGGCCAGACGTATCAGTGATTCAACAGCATTTTATGAAACAACCAGGGTGATCAACTATGATCATATTCCCAAAGTAAAGGGGACAACCATTCCAAGCTGGAGAATTGACACAGCGGGACTTGGCACCGACCAAATCCTACAGAAATTTGATAAAGAGTTTCTGATTAAGTCAGCTTGGAATTTGTAGACTAGAAGTGACTAGACTATTTTTTCTCCGTACGTCGAAAAGATGGTAAACATTGGACGTTGTGCCCCGAAAATGATGAGTTGATCGGGATCAACATTGTAGATACTTGCTCGTCGACGAAAAACACGATCATCTTAATATGTCCCTTTCTCTGTGCATCTGAAAACCCTTAAATTTCCAAAGCTTCCAGACTTGGATGAAGAAACAGGAAACCTGTATATGTGGTCAACATTCAAAGGTTTCCTGTACATGTTCACTGGATTGAAGTGTGGGGATGCGTGAAACAATCTACTCCTCATTACACAACATACAGTAGCTGTTGTAAATCTGGATTTGCATCCCCAATTATCTTAATTAATCAGTAATGTCAAGCCTGGATTCATAATCCCCTACGCTGTTTAATTCGAAAAATCGTATTTGAGCACCAGATTATCGCTATTTGTGGGTAACCCCCCAGTGAATCAACCACGGTAGATCTTACTCCAGGGTTGCCATTCGGGGTTTTGCTTAGCCACAGGTCACCTGCCCTGAAGCCTCTGGTTGCCATGCCATGTCAAAGCCGATAGAGGACGGGCAAAATCTGGTTCTTTGCAGAGGAATTTTAAGCCCTCTGGTAGATCAAAATGCCACAGACTTACATCTGTAGAGTGTGTTGGGGGTTAGATATAGATTTACTATTTCTCTCCAGTTTTGGCAGGGATCAACAAACCACGAAGTCGACTCCCGCGCTTCCCAGGAAGCCTTTAAGACATGATCCTGGAATGAATCCCAGATTTGTCCAGACATGTGCGGCCCAATTTATGGCCATGTTGGATCATCCGGTTAGGGAAATTATTAAAAAACACTGGATTTTCTTGAATCAACCTGGGGTGAATAGGCTGTGGTTGTTTTAAATTGGCAATGTTACTGTAATGGAGATGTACAGTAGTAGCATCACCAGTTGAAAGTTCAGTTTGTTTTGTTCAGGGCATCAAAGATGGTTTATACACAAAGTTTGTGAATAGCTTTCCACCGGTGTACATCACAATATGTGCCATGCTCAATAGTTGGAATCTATTTGATATTTGATTATACATATTTTCCAGATGGGTAGGCTCAACCACCAACCAGGCAAACACTGGCTTTACATATCCCAATGAAAAGAGACATTTATTGACCACTGATAAGGAGTTCAAATTTCATGGTGGGATGACACCAGAATCTATAATATTTTTTATGAATATACACCAAGGTTTGGCCAGGGTACACACATATATTTATATTATAATTATGTAACTAGGACAATATGTATATATACATACACACGCAGACATCACATATATATATATATATAGTATACAGTGTATATATATATAATACAATGTATATATATATAATATATAGCTATATATATATATATTCACAGTATATATATATACAATTTAATAATATAAAGTGTATATATATATATCATACACACTGTATATCCCCTTCCATTCCAAGTAGTGGCAGTGTTGTACACTGTGACTTTGCTTCGCGGGGTCATTAGGAGCAGAGTTGTCGCGCGACCAGCGGATGCCTTTGGGTACCCAAAGGGGGTGGGGCCAGACTTCACCGAAAACACCGCAGAAAGATCTCATAAATCCCATTAATATATCCATAGTATTTCCATAGTATTTCCATAGTATGTCCATAGTATTTCCATAGTATTCCATGGTTCAATGGATTGGTTTAAGGGACAATTGAAACCGGAAAGCCTCAGATTCAATGGAAATTGAACTAAATCTATGGTTTCCAGTTAAGATTTTCCCAACAGAACCAATCCATTGAATATCTGATGGTTGAGATGTGCAGATTTTAAGTGAAAATGATTTTTTGTTTGCTAAAGACAGATAGGGCTTTTGGATAAATTATCATATTACAATTCCAACAGAAAATAACATATTCTTGGCCAAAAAGGGAAGTGAATGTAAACAACAAGAGTGGTTGCGGCGACGAATGCCATGTCATCAGCGCATGAAATATGTATAGAATCCATTTTGATTGTGTCGCATAATTGTGATATAGTGTGATGATAGTCATGGTTCAAACCTTCGGTCCTTCGGTCATTTGATAGCCCTTTAAAGTTTCCTGTTAAATTCATCCTTTCACGACTTGGTGTGTCATCCAAAATGGCTATCAACTGGTGGCATTTTGAGTGTCGCGCATTGAGCCCGACTTTAGGGACCCCTGGCTTTCTTTCTAAGACATCGTTTTTTTTTGGTACAATGGAACCAGTCTGGTGGAATTTGTCCAATCTCGTAGATATTGATCGCTTTTACCTTTTTGGCCCAACCCCCTTCAGAGGGGTACAGAATCTCTGGCAGCAGGAATTCAGGTTTGTGACACATTCATCTAGTGGAAATCATCCAGCCAAGTATTGGTTTCCAGTAAATCCCAGTAAAGCTGTACCGTAAAATGGTTTCTATATTTATTATTTTATTGGGATTTACTGGAGACCATTATATTTATTGGTAAATTGGACTGCCGTCTCTACATTGATCAAGTCCTCAGTGGAAGAAATTCATTTCATGGTCACCATCAAGTCCCTGCGGGCCAGGTCGAAGGTGTTTGGTCCGCCTGTTCCAACGACTGCGGTGTCGGTGAAAGGTTGCCGCGGATGTTGACCATGATGATCCTGTGGTGTAATTATGGGTCATATGAAAGAGGAATATTTGGTTGAATAGATGGGATAATTGCCCAACAGAATGTTAAATAAATCAGGATAGAGCATGACTGGTTGGTGGTTTGAAACATTTTTTATTTTCCATAATATATGGGATGATCCTTCCCATTGACGAACTCATATTTTTCAGAGGGGTAGGTCAACCACCAACCAGATGAATACAATGGTGATTTGGTTGGAACATTGCTCATGTGGGGGATCATCAAGTCCAGAGGGCTCTATCCCACGTCAAAAATGCTGATGTTGGGATTTCCAAATTTCGGATGACCCGGATGACCGTTGCCCACCAATCATCCCATGACATTCTGTGAAATCCCGTTGTGTTTTTTGTTTGATCGGATTCCATGGTTATTTAAGGCTAGTGTCATATTTACTCAACTCAATGGACTTTGGGAAAATTGCAACCGGATTTGTCCCCATACCCTCTGGTAAACTAACATAGCTATGGAAAATCACCATTTTTAATGGGAAAATCCACTATAAATGGCCATTTTCAATAGCTATGTTAAATTACCAGAGGGTATTTCATGGGAAAATCGCCCTGGTTTCCGATGAAGATCCGCGGAGGTCCCGCAGCATCACATGCTCCTCGCCATTGGCGTCGGATTGCGCAGACAAAGCGCTGCCGGTGAACAGTCGGGAAACCCAGGAAACTGACCAGCCAAGGGTGGAGGAAATGTGGATGACACAGATATACATAGATTATATATATATATGTGTACCTTTGTGCAGAGTCAAGGATTTGGGTAATTTAGCCTTGGTTGGATGGTTTATGGATTTGTAGGTTGAAAAAAGTTGCCGTTGGCAGGGATATAGCCCTGCCAATTCCGATACGTGTTTGAAGGGTATCCAATTTCGAAATGTCGTCAAACCCAGGACTCTGAAAGATGGACGAAACTCTCTGAGGGGACAAACCGACTCGGCAAGTCAAAGTGGTATAAATGGTTGAGTGCAAAGGAATAAGTAAACAAGAACCCCTTCCCCCTAATATCAAACACCCCCTTAGAAACCATGGTTTAGTCGGGAATTTCCACACAATTGTGGCCATAAATTGGGGTGTTTAATATTGGGGTGATGGGATTACACAATTCTTCTTCGTGAACCTGAGGGAATTCGGATAAACACCGGCTGGAGCAAGATGGGAACGCTTGGATGACCAGGGTGATGATGACCGATAGCTAACGACCGTTAGCTATGGTTTGTGATAGATTCATCTTGAACTAGAACATGGGGTTAAGGATTAAAGAAGCAGCAATCATACTGGGAGGCGCCACCTTTGCAACCAGTTGGAAGTGTCAGGTGAGGGGATTTGGAAGGTGACACCATGCCATATATTTAGAGGCAAAAATGGAATATATGTGTGCTCTTGGTAAGCAATCCTAAAAAGAAATGACTATCCCCTTTAGACGCAGATCGACCACTATCATCCATTTGCTTCCGCGCCAGACCTAGACCCGCAGGAGGGTCTTGAACACCCATACCCATGTTTTGTAAATGTTCTTGGCTTTAGCTGTGTTTCAAAACGTGGACCCCCTGCTGAAATGCTTTGGTGTGTGGGTCCAATGTTGTTTCACAGATCAAACATGATCAAACCACATGGGTATGGGTCCCAATCTTAGTACTAAGACTTAAACATGAGATGTCCCATAAATTGGTCAAAACTTAATTTTGCCAGTATACATTTTCTGGTTGGTGGTTTGGAACATTTTTTATTTTCCCATATATTGGGAATGTCATCATCCCAACTGACTCATATTTTTTCAGAGGGATTGAAACCACCAACCAGTTGAGACGTTTAGTACTTACCCTCTGCTTATTTAACATAGCCATGGAAAATAGACCATTTATAGATGATTTTCCCAGCTAGAAACCTCCATTTATAAGGGATTTTCCATGGCTATGTTAAATAACCAGATGGTATATGGTATATTCGCCATTGGATCAGGTATTAATGACTAATAACCGCCATTATTAACCATTATTAGTCACTTATTAACCACTATGAATCACTTATTTATGTTACCAAACGTCCCACACGATCTCGTTCCCGGAACGACGCCGAAGCGTTACATACCGCCGTGCCTCAGATGAATCCTGCAGTGACTACAGCAACTGCCAGTGGCAGGCAGACGACGACTCCGATCATGTTCCGGAAATGATGAATGTGAACAATGTGAACTTTTTCAATATCTCCATGTCATTTTTGTTAATATATGTATAATATATATATATATATTATGCAGTATATAAATATATATATATAGTAAAAGCCGGAGTGTACAAAAGGGTGCCCCTTGATGGTTGAGTTGATATGCAGTTCGCCGTCCAACTATAAATATGTGTCCAGCACAAGCACATCTTAGACTCTTAGACTCATTCAGGCGAGCCATCGTCAAATCTCAGCCAACTATTTTGGGGCCCATGGGCCCATGGCCACATTGTGGACTTTGTATCTTGCCTATCCCCAGATTTATGTAGGTGACATACTGATATACTTATCATGTTACTTATGATGCATCATTTGGGTTGGACAAATTGACAAATACCACCTAAATCGCAGCTAAGAAATAGCTTGGGGCAGCACAACTCGTCAGATCCACGCTTGGAGCCTTTGCAGCAGCAGCTGTGGAGTTGGCACACAGCAGCTTGGTCAAATGGTGACTTCTTTGGAGGATGGAGGATTTGTTGATGTGATCATTGTGATGAGTAGAGGATTTAACATCCTTTAACCAGACATGAGGGACCTAACCCTTGCAAAAATGCATGTTCATTTTGACTATCAGAAATGGTCATTCAGCTTTTTATTTCGAGGATGTCTACAGCAACACCCAAACAGATTCAGAAACAAATGATAATTACCACTATTCTGGATTTTGATATATATGTATATATATATCGTTTTTTCCTGAATTATTTGGGGGAGTGCTACTTGGTATTGATTTGAACCCACAATAATTGACTTTATCATCAGAACTTTGAATTTAAAAGCATTAAACAAAACATTGGGGATGTTAACCAACTACGGTTGGATAACGAATGGGGACAAAAAGGGATACAACCATATACGACATACGACCAACAAAGTGATATATCGCTTTGTGTGAAAATGGGGCATGTAAAACACCCTGGCACACCTCTTCCATCCCGCTCAGTGGATAGTTACTGAGCACTCACTGGCATGGGTAGGGTCATTTTGGTGCTAATGGGTCCACAAGATGGTTATTCGATGTTATTCTTAGTATGGCTTAGTCACTTAGTCTTCGCCGTGATGGTCAATACTTTTGACCCAGAACCCTTTTATTTTACTGGGAAAAACCATTCAAATTATTTAGAATTGGCTCATGAAATATAGTAACTGGTTGGTGGTTCGGAACATGAAATTTATGTTTTCCATATATTGGGAATGTCATCATCCAAACTGACTCATATTTTTTAGAGGGATAGGTATACCACCAACCAGCATCTGTAGAGTATGTTTGGCCGGGATCAACAAACCACTAAGTCGACTCTCGCGCTTCCGGGGCCTTTAAGACATCCTGGAATCCCAGATTTCTTCAGACATGTGCGGCCCAATTTATGGCCATTTTGGATCATTCTGGTTGGGGAAATGATGATAAAACACTGGATTTTCTTGAACCAACCTGGTGTGAATAGGCTGTGGTTGTTTTAAATTGGCAATGTTACTGTAATGGAGATGTACAGTAGTAGCATCACCAGTTGAAAGTTCAGTTTGTTTTGTCCAGGGGACCAAAGATGGTTTATACATAAAGTGTCTGGATAGCTTCAACCGGTGTACATCACAATATGTGCGATGCTCAATAGTTGGAATCTATTTGATATTTGATTATACATATTTTTCAGAGGGGTAGGCTCAACCAAACACTGGCTTTCATGCCTCATTCTCCCCAGCAGATCCTGGCAAAAACCGGAGCGCAATACATCAACTAGACAGATGCGCTGGACACACAGGATCCAGACATTAAACTAGCGTTTTTACCTCAGAAAAATGCATTGAACATGCATTAAAAATGCTGTTTCATAATGTTTCATCACCATTTTGGACATGTTATGCTCCCATATCTTCCCCAACGTGCGATGACTCGCAATAACTGTGTGCCGATGAAGACAAGCCATGATGTGGGAGTTCCGTGGCATGGGATGACCATAGCGCATCAGAATCATAGAGTGTTGGTTCTATCCCTATAATCACTGGATTGGTTCAAGGGAAAATCTGAACCGGAAACCATGGTTTTTACCATCAAATTGATCGAGCTTTCCTGTAAAATTTCCCATAACCAATTCTATCCCTATAACTTTCCTATTATAACATATGGACATTTTAACAATCAGCTTATTGGAATGGTAACATCTTTGAAAATTCCATATTGTATCTATATACTATCTATACTGTTTGTTTTAAAACATTGTTTAGTATGATTATAGTATGATCATCGCTTGCCCTCTGGTAGATTAACATAGAGCCTGAAAATGAACATTGTTTAGTTGAAACTAATCTTCCAACCCCTTTCTGCCAGGGTCTATGTTAATTTACTGGAGGGTAAATCCCACATTAATCTATTTCAGGATGATTATAGACACCCAAGTGGTTATACATGATGATTATAAAGTTTTGTACAATCCACTAGTATTAGTAAGTTGGTTATTATTAATCACTTAGCCATGAACGTGGGATATCCATGCATATAAATAAAGTGATTACACAATCCACAAATAAGTGGTTATAGTCATGGATTTTGTTATACCATATGTTTTACATTGCCATACCAGATGTTATAAATCAATTAGTGGTTGTAAATCCACTTATAAGTAAGTTGTTGTACATATTTAGGTGGTTATTGTACATGATGATTATCATCAATAATTGGTTATCATATATCATATGAGCAATCATGATACTCAAACATGGTTGTATAATAAAATGTTTAACTGAGTTGTGCAATATCATATAAAATTGGTTATCATATGTCCACTCATTATGAATTATTGATGTATAAAATTATCAAAAGCTATCATTTTTAGTAAACCATTCATCATAATCACCTGTTATATCCACTTACAAATTATACAAGGAAAAACACCTAAAGGATGTATACATCGAGGCTAACCATATTATATAATTATATATAACCACCTGAATGATATCACTCATCATTGTTATGATTTATTCATATAATTATATCATCAACTCATCAAGAAGTGGTTATCATATATCCATTCATTATAAAGTTAGTTGACTGATATGATATTATAGAGTAATATTTAATATCATGATCATATATAAAGTCATTTCTAATATTATACATTAGTATTATCATTATAAATTATACATCCATATTTTAGTAAGTTGACTGCACCAAGGACTCGAGAAGTGACCTGCGAGGCGGATCCACACTGTCCCTTCCTCGCGGCGATGGCCATACCGCCTGCAGGGGGCTTCTTTTGGGGGATCCCACTCGTCACCATGGAGTTCGAAACGAAAATGGTCTATATATGGTATATTCACCATAAATAATATGTAAAAAATCACCATAAATCACCAAAAATAAGTGGATTTGTGAATGCGAAAATAGACTAAAATATATACTCTAATGAGGTCTAATGGCTATTTTATGATTTGGGGGTACCCCCATGACTTTGGAAAAATCTGGGTTTTCCTGAAAATGGATGACAGATGAGGTGTATCCCCAAATAGTATAAAATAGTCATATCTTACATCTTTTGTTTGGGGAAGATGATCATAAACCATGAAATCTGGGAATGCACCATGTTTGGACAAACCAATATGTTATGTATTTCTCTGGGTTTTCTGTGTCTATTCGATCTTGTTTTCGACTCGTGTTCTGTTGTTCTGATGATGTTTGCC